TCTCCACGGTGACGTGTCTTCTCCACGGTTTCGTCACAGCGGCTGTGTTCTGGTATAAAAGCCTCTCTCTAAGACACGCCCCTGCAGCAGTCAGAGGGTGGAACAGTTAGCAAGCTTAGCATGATCGTCTGTTGACCTTCAGCCTCGGGTGGGGAGAGCTGACTGCTGTGCTGCTATCTCTCTACACACACACACACACATACACACACACACACCAGCAGTACATCCTGCACAGCGGGAGGGGAGGAGGGGGAAAAAAGGGCAGAAACACAGCGGGGCAGCTGCAGCCCTAACGGACCAAACTTCAGTCAAACAAGACCCAACACTTTTATTCCTGATTTAAACTAGTGATCTTGTGAGCAGCTGCAGCTGTATGCTTTTATTTTTTTCTGTCAGGCTGTCGGAGCGCTCCTCCTCCTCTGTCCGAGGCTGGTGTGGTGTGGGGAGGACAGCTCAGTCGAGGCTGTCACGTTCTCACGTCCTGGCCACACCTCCGCTCTCTAACCTCCCCTCCCCTACCTACTTTGATGCATTTTTCAAATTTCGCCTTGGGGCGGAGTTATCTTTTCACGGGGGGGTAAGATACACTTTAACTACCRAAAACACTCTCTGCATTTTATTATCGTCCAATCCCCCTCATCATTCATTCATTCATTGACAGTTCACAGCATTATGTTCAATAGTTTATTCATTTCAATTAAAAACAAAAATGTCAATACAACAAAAAAGAAACACAAATATCATAAAATGAAAAGAAGAAAAAAGTCTTATAATATCTGCCCATATTTAACAAAAAAAGAAAAATAAAAATAAATACATATATACTTAGGCACATGGTATGGKATGGTGAGTGGGGATGGATGTAAAATCCATATGAGMGGAGGCCTCCTAGGTGGGTCCATCGCTCTCCCCAAAAAGACACTGGTCTTCATTCAAACCTTCTCGTCCCTCGGATGAAGGACACAAGATTAGAAACACTCTGAGCTTCTCAGGATCCATTAAAGGTTCCCCAAGAATTCTCTTCCTTTGACCACTCAGAGCCAAGCAGTGGCCTAAGTAGTGCAAAGAGGTCTGTAGGTCAATGCCACAAGGCATCACAAAGACCATTGCCATGGAGTCCCATTACCATTTTGTGGCGGTTGAACAGATTGCGCCCAGTTAGGACTCCAACCAGTGTGCTTAGAGTTTTCCTTGACAGGGAGATGAGAGCTTTCCCAAACCTTAGATTTGGGCCGTTAATCTGTTCCTGTGCCTGTCTACAGTCTGTCAGCTCCCTTCAGAGGATTGAGTGTTGATGTCTAATCCAGGCCTGTAGGGCAGTCCTACAGACTGTTGTTGAGGTACCTACAACAGGCTCTGGTCCTTTGAAGTGAGCCTGACTGCCAGCTTCGGTAACGAGGTAGTCAGCTCTCTCGTTACCATAAATGCCAGTATGTCCAGGTACCCATTTAACAGTAACACTGTTATATCTCCCCACTTGGTTGACTGCTTCGGCACACTCCCAAGCCAGTAATGATGTAAAGTGTGGCCCTCGGAGAGCTCTAATAGCAGCTTGGCTAGCTGTTAGCATGAATATTTCCTTCTGTGTACACTGAAGGTCTTTGAGAGATGCCACACACTGGTGGATTGCAGATATCTCAGCTTGAGAAACAGGTACAAAACAACCTAGTGGGTATTTGTGCTCTCTCTTACTATGGTTATGCAAAATCAGCACCCCTGCACCTACTGAGCCCTTCAGAAGGGATCCATCTGTAAAACAGTAGAAATGATTGGGAGACATGTCCGTCGTAGAGAGGTTAGTCCAGACAGACCTGTCGTCTATCTCTGTCTTAAAACTCGGCTCAAAATTGTATTTTTTGACCATTCTGTCTCCAGGTCCTGCAGTTACTGGAACAGTCCCAGATTCCAGTGTGCTGTGAGTCAGATAGGKTTTTCCACCTACCAGACTGGCGTAGCCTTACTGYACTGGATGCGACCTCCCCTAAGATATGTAAACCTAGTGGAGCCAGGTCCAGTAGGACTTCCATGGCTGCCGTTGATGYTGTTCTGATAGAACCTGTGATGCTCAGGCAGGCCATCCGTTGTACATGGGTGAGCAACACCCATTGGAGTTGCCACCCCAACTTGGACTCTAACCCACCACACTAAAGCAGCATAGCATAGCACGGGGCGGACTATGGCCGTGTAGATCCACCTGATAACCTTTGGGGTAGCACCCCAGCGACTACCTGCTATTCTCCAGCACTGGTGTAGGCACATTACTGCCTTCTTACACTTCTTACAATTGGGCCGCGGCCCATTGGTTAAGAATCTCTGCTCTAGATCAGTGTTTCCCAAAGTTGGGGTTGGGACGCAAAGTGGGGTCCCGAAACATCAAGGTGGGGTCCTGAAAAGATTTTCTGAATTAATTACATTTTTGCCTTAGTTGTTACAAAGGAGTGAGGTTAGTGTATTTAAAGTGGATAAATGTAGTATAAAAAATATTGTTACTATGTCCATGTTTAGTTGACCTGATACAAATGTTTATCGTCCAAAAATATCTGGGGGCTCAGGTCTCTGCTACTGTTATTTTGTGGGTCAAAAGCTGAAAAGTTTTGGAACCACTGCACTTTGGTTCCCAAAGTTGGGCTTGGGATCCAATTATGGGTCATGAAGCACCTTGGATAATCTCCAGAAATCAATTTAAAGGGTAATAAAATAATTGCTGATGTAATATTTTCTCTATAATTATTACAAAAACACAAAATAATAAAAATAAGTATTTATATGTGTGTACAAGCTGTTTAGATTGTCCAAAATTCTGTGTTTTTAGGGTTATTTAAGACGTTTGTGTACTTAGACCAGTAATGCTTGGGGTCACAAGTTTTTGCCCTGGATATTTTGTGGGTCAGAAGATAAAAAGTTTGGGAACCACTRCTGTAGATGATATTTGATAATTTGCAAAATAAAAGCCCAACTGTTGTCTGTCAGACAGAATCTCTTTTCTATAAACTGAGACCTCCCTCCACCCTCAGAGAGAGGGTTTTTCTGAGCATATCTGTCCAGCTGCAGTTTTTCCACCCATGCTTATAAAGCCTGTAAACTCACCTTGAGACATTCTGTGTTCAGAACGACAGAAATGATCACGAGTCCGTTATGATAAAYGAGACAAAGGAGGCTGAGGGATTGTGGCTCGGAGCAGAACCTGTGGAGGTTCGGCTCGGCTCGGCTCAGTTTGAATCACTTCCTCCTGCAGTCAGCAGTGATTTGGCTCGTCTCTGTCTCTTTTCAGACACTTGTTTACCTGCATGACTGGATTTGCATACATTTCTTATTGAAAAAACACCTGCATTCTCAGCCTAACAAAGATTTCCTCTGCCTGAACCAATCTGAGGAGATTTGCTCGTTCTGAAAGGACTTTTGTTGTTTGCTAATCTCTCTTGAATCTTTTAATATTTCTAAAATTTTCCTCAGAAATGTAGAACATCTAGTAAAAGGTGGTTTTTACTAAGCTTATTGTGAAAAAAAAGAGTGACTGGAGGAGAAAGACGCCTCAACACGTCATGGGTTTGACAGGACTTCGGCACGGCTGAGTGGAAACAGGCGATGTGGGAGACGAGGTTTTACCCCTGAATGCCTCGGCCCGGCTGATGACAGAAACACACTTTCTCGTAGCGTCCCACCTGCCCCGGCCGTGTCCTCTCTGCAGGGCCTGTCGTAAAACAATAGAACGACCCTCAGCGGGGTCTTTTCCTCCACTCAGGACCCCCGGCTCTGTCTACACACAACAGATCCTGCACCTCATTAGACGCTGCCTGACCAAACAGTCTCTGGGGTGTGTGTGTGTGTGTG